CCCACCTATGAGCACATAAGGATTTAGGGGACATCCAGATGTAAGCCATAACTACACTTCATTTTCAATTTGTAATTATATGAACTGAATATTTTGTTAAATATATATTGTTTATATTTTGTTTTTACTTAATGAAATATTTGAATGGGACTCTGCTTCCATTTCACCATTTAGCTCAAAGACCAAGGGTGATAATGTTATTCTTCCTCCATCATCCAAACTGGGGTGCTAGACCACTTATACAAGATTTGATGAAATGCTGAAGATCTGTTTTGTTTCTCTAGCCCAGTGCTTACCTTGGTGGTGAAAAGAAAAGGGGACTGAATTGGAAGTGGAAAGAAAAAGAATTTCTTTGGACATGGTTGCCTTTTATGGCAACAAAATCTCAACACTAACAAGAGACGATGGATGTTTTTTCTTAAGTCAAGTTAAGTGAGAAAGGATTCAGCATGTGACATGTCTTTAGCACTTAGAAAAAATAAGGACTTTGCGGTACACTGCATTTTTCCATAAAACATCACAGTAATTTGTTTTTTTCTAGTCCAGTAAAGGGAGGACTCTACTTTACCTTTTCTGGAAATTGGGTGGATAGGACTGTTCTGTCCATTACAGTGCAGTAGAATGATCCTGTGTAGTTTCTGAGGATTGATCATAAAATGACACAGCCTCCATCTAACTGTTTTCTTAGGGTGCAGTCTACTTGGAAGCTAGCTCCCATGCTATGATAGGAAGTCCAGTGCAGCCCACATAAGGAAGAGCTGAAAACATTACCAGAAACCTTCATGAGCCACTGGACAGATCCATTAACCCAATGATTCTAGCTCAGAAGCTGTGTGTATTGTATTGCTCCTGAGCAAACCCCTCATACTCCATGAACTAACTGCCATTATGTCTTCCCTGGATTCTGGAACATCAGTGAACATGAAGATGGAGCTGGAGGTGGAGTGATGGGCTTGTGCCAAAGCAAAGTTCTAAAAGCCAATAAGGGAGCAAACCAGACAGACAGTGGGAGCAAGACGAGACCTGAGGTTTCTAGAATGGGAAGAAGTGGAGAAGTGAGCCTAAAAGAGATTTGGCTCAAGAGATATGACTTGAGGGTCAAAGTGACCCAGCAGAGGGATGGCTGACACTCCACAGAGTAAGGAAGATAGCAGATTTCTCAATGCAGTGCATCAAAGACTCCAGTAAACACTGTGGATCAGAAGCAGCCAGGTGTATTCATAGTGTTGAAGTCATAAGACCAGAATCCTATAGTATCTACCCATTTCTGCTAGCTCTACTGTATTCTTCACCATCTTGTCTACCTCACGATGCCCAACTTACAGAGAGGAGGAAAAAGAAGAACTGCAAGTGAAGTGAAGATGGAAAAGCCAGCCCATGGAAGCCTTTCCAAAAAGATGTTACTCTGAAGTAGGCGAGAGAAAAGCTTTAAGGAAAGCCCAGAGTTGCGATCACTACAACAGCTACATCAGCAGTAGGTTTGAAGAGGGTGGAGAGGAAACAATGAAGTCATCATTACTTTTGTCCCATCCAGACTGTACTATTTATTTTAAAGTCCATCTTTTTCTTTCTTTTCATGACGGTGTCATCCAAGATCATTAATGTGTTTGTTTTGCTTATGTTTTACAAATTTTAGAAGCTTTAACTAGCATCATGTTTGCTTCACAAATTTTAATAGAAGTAACCTGTGAAATTGGTGCACTGTGTGTGGCACAAGAGCTTATATTCTGGTGCTGTCTTCATTTAGCTTGTGTTACTTGAACACTGGATTTGTGCTAGGCCATTCTGTGTATTAGGGATACTGTGATGAACAGAAAAAAGACTTTATGCTCTGTGAACTTACATGCTGTTTGGAAAGAAGAGCCAGTACGTAAATTAACAGTAAGAAAATGTACTTTAGTGCGTATTGTGGGGACAAGGCTATGAAACAAAATAAAGATGTGTACAATGTATAGCTACTCACGGAATAAAGGGAAATAAGATGAACACACACCCATCTGTTTACTGACTTAGCTCTAGCTGCTGTGTGAAAAGGCATAGATTGTGTCACTTACACAAGAGCCACTAATTTTTTTCCTGTTTTGGAAGCTGAAGTCTTAGAAAGGTTACTAACATAGTTGGGTAATAGTGAGGGGGTCTCCTCCTGAGTTCTAGGTGACCTTTTTGAGAGATGGGTGGGGGAGCTGTAGTGTCTTCGTAGGAGGGCACACTGACCCTGTCAGAGCAGGGCTCTGTTCTCATGATCACATCTCATCGAACCGTAATTACCTCAGCAAAAGTCCCTTCTCTAAATACTATGAGATTGGAGATTAAGATTTCAGCGAATGAGTTTTGAGTAAACACAAAAGCTTAGCATGTCCTGACACACAGACACAGAAGCACACAAACACACACACACACACACACACACACACACATCAAGGATGGCTCTCACAGGACGTGGTATTTAATCAGAGGGTTAAAGTAAGTGAGGCAGAGAGCCCTGTGTCTCTCCTGAGAAAGCCTTTCCGGTAGAGGAAAACAGCTCCAAGGCTGTTAAGTGGGCGAAAACTTGGCCCATTCAAGGGACAGTGCAGAGTCCCATGTGGCTGAGTGGAACTGAGAGAGCAGGCAGGGGGAGAAAAATAGGGGATGAGGTAGACTGGAAATTAACCAGGGATGGCGAAACTGTTAGAGCTTTCAATGATAATAAACAGCCTGCTACGGCACGAGTGCCATCGGTTCACCACCACTGGAAGCTAGATCGTGTGAGGCCTGCGTCTCACTCTGAGAATGAAAACCATAAAAAACACTGGAGCAGGGAAGGAATGCAGCTCAAAAAGTAGCCTTTATACAAAAGGGTGAAGTAATGTGATGATTAGGAACATGACAGTATGGTATTTCTGAAGCATTTTAAATAGAGAACTGTAGGAGATGGGTGCAAAGAGAAATGATCTCAGAGTCACCATTTATACACAGCAGTGTCTTTGCTCCTAGATAAACTAAGTGCTGACATTTCATCTCTATTTGTTTCAAAAAATGCACCTGGCAATACAGCTCTCTCTCCAGGACTCCTTATTTAAATGTAGTTTGTCAGAAGGTCAATATTTGATTAAAGTAAGTGAATAATTAGCATGTAAATCACTATATAGGAAATTAACATGTAAATCACTATATATAAATTAACGCTATATAGGAACTCACATGTAGAGATGTATTTAATTTCATAATTTATTGCCTACATATTGTTATAAAGAAAAACAGAAAGTATTACCTCTAAACCCTGTTGATTCTGAACACAATTTAGAGTGAACCACGGCTTCCATGCCTCCCTCCCTTTCCCTTTTAGTGTTCACAGTGTGGGGCTGCCCTGGTGGTATCCACTTCCAGAACAGGTCTTGTGGATGAAGAGTCAGAGTGAGAAAACGAAACCTCTGTGAGAAGATGCGATTCTCTCACCTGAGCCAAGGAGTCAGGGGCACCAGATGACACAGCTTCTGGGAAACCTAAATGACAGCCACCGTTTCTCTCCCTTTCCGTCCAGCTTCCACCAGCATCGCTAGTGATGCAAGTTTTCTGTGTCACACAAATGAAGCAGACTTAAAGAAGTTGTGTGTTCACTGGGGGAGGGGGGAGTCAGTTTCTTGAATTATGTACTATGTAAAAGATACATAAATCAGCAGCCATGTTTGTTTGATTTCCGGATGATATTCCATCAGCTTTTACTAAGTTCCAACCGTGCTCGATATATGTTTTTAATTTACTGAATAGAATTTTATTGAATACAATACCCAAGGAAGAATGATAAATTTCAGGAGCATTCCTCCACTCAAACACTATTGATTGTGTTAACTGAAATATTCGGCTGGCCAAGTCGTTGTAAGTCTGCAAATAGTCATTTAAAAAATTTATTTTTTATAGAGAAAGAATTCCGGCAGGGTTTCGTTCATGTAACAAACAGGCCAAGAAGCGTCCCAAATGTTACAGTCTTTGACCTCTCAGCAGGTCACCTTTGCTCTTTCTTCCCTCAAGTTAGAAGTTGTTTTTGGAGTCTCAGTTATTTTTGGTACAATACACCTTGTTTGTACAGCCCTGTAATTTTGGCTGATGGTTCTGTATGGTATGGTACTGTCATTTATACCACAGCACTGCATGGAAGAATTATGCAAATAACAGAAAGGTCATCAGGGTGGAGTTTCCTCTGACCATTTCTTTTATCTGAATAGCGTAACATACACACTACGTACAAGTCCTCATTTGGAGACCAATTCATTTAACGACTCAGTCACAGGGACTGAATTCGGTGGTTAAATGAGGAATGTGTGTAGTAATATTTTTTTTCCTAGAAACTCCCCTTAGTTGATATTCCCCCCAATTCCCAAATTGCTGAGATTTCAGTGACAACAAGCTCATTAGTAGGTGAGATCCAGGTGTCTCTTTTCACATCCAATCTCCTTGGCTATGATTCCCAACTGACTCTGTTTCAGTTGGGCAGCCTACAGGAACTACAGAACATAGCATTCTCACCCCTCATTGCTCTAGATTTCTCTTTGGAACACCATATTTCTCCTGGTAAAATACATACTACCATTTCTGTCTTTACATCATTGTCTTTTCAGGAACTTTAAACATTCCTACCCCATTGAATTTAGAAAAGACCATTGGTTTACTGGATCAGTAGAATATGGGTGAAAGTGCTATTTTCTGTCTGGCTTAACCATCCTTCTCCTTTTAAACATTCTTATTTATCATTTTTACCTTTTCTTTAAAAAAATCTTTGACTGGGTTAAACTGATAAAAATATCCATTTTTTAAGAAATTTTAATTCGTATTTTAGACCTATGATACATATTTAAATTTTGATTTTGATTTAATGTTAAATATATGTGAGGAATGCGAAAATACTTCTTTTTCGGATAGATGTTTCTTGCTCCAGCCTATTGATTGAATATCATTCAGGCTTTAAGTTTTGCTTGGCATCACCAAGAAAATCCTCAAATATTTTGGAGAAATAATAGTTTCTTCTGGCTGTATAAATTAATAATAACATCTCAGCATTACTGGTTTGCTTTTGAATCCTGCTGATGGGAGTCTGGAGAAGAAAAAGAATTTTAGAAATTATGCCAATGTAAATATAATGCCTAGGTAAGTACAGGAAGATGGGGGAAGAGATTTATACAGTGGAGGCAGGTAGTAATCTACAATGATGAGAAGTTGGTAAATAGTACCAAAACTGAATAAAAATATAATACGAGCATACAGCCTAGAAACATGAGAATGACAGAATTAAGACTTTAAGGATTCTCATATTTTGTGGTAAAATGAGAGACAGCATTTTCCCCTTTTGCAATGAAAACCTTGTACTACATTGATTTTTCTATAGGTTTCAGTGTGTATCAGTGAAATATTTTGAAGCTTTATTTTAAAAATAAGAAAAAGCATTAGAGGGATGTATACTAATCTTTTAGGATAGTATCCTTTAGAGAAAAGGGTTAGAGTGAGTTCACATTTGATTTACACACCCTGATAGAAATAGTACCTCTCCAATTCATATGATGAATCCCTAAACCTCAGAGTGACTGTAGACAGAATTTGGAGATAGAAACCATGAGCAAATAATAAGTGTTAAAGGAATTTGTGAGCATGGCCCCTGACTTGATATGGCAGATGCCCTGATAAGAGGAAAGGACATTAGAGGTGTCTTTCTCCATGATGTGAGCACACAAGAAGTTGACTACAAAGAGTTTACATCATTTTACAATGAAAATGTAAAACTGTAGGGAATATAATTATATTATAAAAGTAGAATCTCCATATTCCAGAAAACTTATAAAACTAAAAAAGGGACGTACTCCTATATTTCTTTTTAGTTCTTGTGTATTTATATATGTGTTCAATTTATTTTGGTCTAATTAAATATCTCACATTTTTAGAATAAGATAGATTTTGATACTGGTACTAATGTTTATAACTATAAACCAAATAACTATAAAAGTTATTTGAGTTTATGTATTTATCATAGTTCTATTTAACTAAAAATGCTTGTAGCTGAACGTTTCTGTTGTTTATACTTTTGACTGTTATGAAAACACTGTGTTAGATATAGCCAAGGCATATGGCTTTTGAAAACTGGATTTATATCCTGAGGATGGATTCCCAGAATTATAATTCCTACATCAAAAGGTACAAACACTTTTTAGATTCTTGATATATACTTGCCAAATTGTAAAAGTGACAGCATCGATCAATTCAAAGTTCTATCTGCAGTGCATGGGGCAACTGGTAGCACTTTTCTTTGTCAGATGTAGCCATGAGGATGTATTTTGAGCCACTGAATGTAAGGTTTGTGTATGTATAGAGTGTTATCTCTGTGGTCAATGAATGAATGGGGCAAAGTATTTATGCATCTAAACTAATGCGAAATATTGTGAAGGTGATTAAAAAAGGTAGTATAATCATTACATTTCTTCCTGGCAGCCCTATCTCTGATTCACCTAGCAGTGTTTGCCCTAATCGATGTCGCTTTCTACCTGGGTGTAGGATATGCTGCGTTTGTATTAAGGTCCATGCAGGGGAACACTATCCTAGATATCTTAAAAAGAATCAGATATGATGCCAAGAAACATATTTGCAGAAAAACCAGGAGGCTTGGGGAAGTAGAGGTTAAAGAAAAGCCAATCGAGCATTTAGGAAATGAAGAATTATGGGAAATCAGAGGAGGCTGCCTCCAATTATCTCAGCTGCCTGCCCAGGTAGGTAATTCCCAGAGCCCCTGGAAGCTCCTGAAATTCTTATGAATGCAACCTATCCATCATGTCCCAACTTTGACATTTATTTTGACTTCCACATACCCCAGAATTGTCCCCCTTTGAAAGAATTTTTACCAGTATCCTGAGCAAGTGTTTCTCCAAAACATAAGTAGGGATTTTAGTCTTTGAAACGTGTAGAAAGATGGAGAGAAAAGTTTGGTGTGGTATGGTAACAGATTTTTATAGGTACTTCTCACCCTCTCTTCTTTCCTTTTTTTAGAATTGACCCCTAATTATAATCAAGTATCTGTGTCATCCCTTGGTCCAGAAGGAGGCAGAATTTGGTAGTCAAGGCATGTTCTCAATGACGGTGTGTGGGGTAGTGACATGTAACTTACAGCTTGGCAGTTTCTTTGTAAGGGATAGTTTTCATGTCTCTGCCTTCCATTTATTGTGCACAAGGAAGCAACCACTTTGAAACTAAGAAGAGCCCAGGATGAGGCAGATAATAAGAGAAGAATGACGAGACAGGAAAATACTTGCTTATTTTTAAATGACATAATTCTCCAGGTCTTCATGTTATGCCTGGATGCTACTCTACTTCTGAATATCTCATGTGTGATAACCATTTTCATTATTGTTTAATTTCTGTCCCGCTTTCTGATCTTGTTGAAAGCATTATAATTATTTTACCCACAACTTTGGAATCTGTAGAACTATACACTGGGTATCAAAAGGGACAGCTAGAAATTTTCTGGACTTCCTCTGAATAATTACTGCAATGGAGGAAATCCCAGGCAACTCAGCTAATGAAGACTTACAGGTATTCTGGAGTCCCTCTGCTCTCCTTGGGTTCCGTCTCACAGGCAGTTACCAGTTCTGAGTGGACACAGTGTCACACATATTCATACCTTTCCTTTGAAGGCATCTCTGTGATAAATCTCCCTGTGTCCCTGCTGAGGGGGCTGAGCTGAAAGACAGGAGCCAGACTTCAAGGACAGAGTCTGATTATAGGGGTAGCATGTAGTGGAAGAGGCCCCATTGGTTTGTGGGGTACAGGTACAGTTGGCATGTGCCACCTGCATTGTGATGTTGGCAGCGTGGTTTTTATGGTACACCATGACAGGGACCCCTTGATCTTACAGGTCAGGCTCCTGTGGGTCTTCTCACCTAGGCCTTGGACTTGGGCTTCTGTGTTTGCCTTTGCAGGATCCTATTTTATCAAGAATCCTGCTCAATTTACAGAGAAACCTTAACTCCCATCCCTTGATATTTGCTCACCCTGATCCTCTTTTAGAAAATGTCATCCTACCCTTGATGATTCCTCTTAGTTATTTCCTATTCTCAGGACTGGCTCCACTACCACCATTCTACCTGCTCTTTGACTGTTCACTTCTATTTGTTCTTATAGTCACAATTGAGCCCAGTCTCTTCCTTGCTATTCTTGACACCTATCACAGTAATCTTGGATGAAGTCTTCCTTACCAATGTAAAGTGGCAGGTTAAGTTCTGTAGATGTGGTTCAGGGAGTTGGAAAGAACGAGACCTGGGCCTGCTGTGATAATCCATTTGGTTTCCCCAGAACTTTTAGGATTTTATTCCTGAAAACCCTTCCTGACTTAGAGACTGAAGAACCTCGGATTAGGTGGCTTTCTCAAAGTCATTCTGTCGATCTCAGAACTGAGCCTCTGCTTCCAACCCTCAGGCTAGTAATGCCCTGACTGCAGTTCTTACATCACACAAAAGCTCAGAGGGCTGGGTGGTTATCCCTATGCGAATACACATGAACCTGGCAGGTTACGCAGCAGAGCTAAACTCTTCTACCTGTGTGTTGAATTGCTCCAGACACTGCCTCTCCAGGCTGTTCTTCCCAGGGTCGTGGGTCACATCTGGTTTCTACATGACATTATCTCACTCCACATGTGGGCACAAAGCAACTGTAGTCAATCTTATGTCTGTTCAAAAAAAAAAAATCCATTTTCCTCTCTCCAGGCTTCAGCAGCTGTCATTCTGTGAAAATGGTAGTAAACCCCCTCTGGACAATGTGATTTTTAAACCCTCTCTGATTCCCTAAGAGTAACTGTACTTTTGAAAAGTCTGATGGGCAGCTGGTTATTCGAGGTCACAGTTTCCAATTTGCTTTGACAAACGTCACAGAGAGGATGGTGTGTGCTTTAGTGCATTTTGCATTAGTAAAGTTTCCTTCATCAGGATTTACTTCAGGAATGGAAAAAATGAATCTCTGTCTTCGCTTTTCCCACTTGAACTTCAGAAGGGGAATTTCCATTTATTATGGCACTGAGGCATTCTTGCTACGACTCTGGCACTTGCCTCACTCACACGTGTGAACTACATTGCATCACCTCTTGGTTCTCTGTTTGCTGTTCTGCAGTGCAAGAGAGTGGTGCAAGGTTTCATTCTGTCTACCTGTTGCTATCCCTGGTATGGTACCATAAAGAAAGACATATTTAATCTGAACTCCAGAAGGGAATTATGAGGGCTGAAATGAGCCATACACAACTAATTTCTAAATTCTACAGCTTGTAAAATATGTAAAATGTAAATGTTTTCCACCCTTGTCACCTAAGGGTTTCAGGGATGGCCTGTGAATATGATTTGTTTTAGAGTATCTACAAAATGTATCTGGCTTTGGGTTTCAGTATCTGACTAGTGCCTTGCATCGCGGAGATTTATTTATGTCAAACTAGAGGTCTTTGGGAGGTTGGAGTGCCGGGCTCCAGGACTCAGGCTGTCTACACACAATAGTTTGTCATTCTTCTCTTGGTTGCAGAATGGCAAGTATTACCATCTGCTGGCAGAGTCTCAAAGAGGAAAGGGGAGAGAATGACAAGAGGTACTTTTCCCCTTTTGTATCAGAGGAAACTTGCCTTACCATCAATGCAGTAGACTCTATGCAACCAGGTAGACAGTGTTTGTGCTCCCTCATTCTAGAATTCCTGTGTTGAAATCCTAGGGCCCTCTGTGATGTTATCAAGGGGTAGTGCTATAGAGATGTGGTCAGGCAAGGAGAGAGGTCCCTTATTAGTGGATTCATCATCTATGTAAGAAATGAGTTCTTGTTCTCTTTCCACCAAATGAGGAAAGGAGAAGACAGTCACCTTGGATCAGGAGAGGCCTCAGAAAGAACATAATGTTTTTGTGAGCTTTCAGCCTTCAGAACTCCCTACCTGTGAGAAGTAAGCATTCCATGTCTAGCCCCCACCCCCATCCCAGGCTCTTGTACTACTCTTATGGCAGCCTGAGTTGAAAAGGACACTGTGCAAATCTTCCATGACAAAATCAATTCAAGTATTTTGTGCCCAGAATATACTGGGTCTGGGAGTGGAGACGGTGGCCACAGAAGTGAAGGGCTCCAAAATCAACACTTTCTTATGATGCAGGACCATATCATTGACCTGAACTCAGCACCTTACTTTGCCAGGAAAGTAGGACTGACAATCCCTTTTGACAACAGTAGTGAACAGTAAGCAATAAGGAAAGTCTGTCTTTATTTTTAAATTTTCTTCTCTTTTTTTTTTTTTTTTTTCTGGGGATTGAACTCAGGTCCTTGCGCTTGCAAGGCAGGCCAACAAACCACTGAGCTAAATCCCTGGCCCTCTTCTTCTTTTTTTATCAGTATTATTAAGGCAGAGCAGCTCAGTGCTGTACTTTTTTTTTTTTTTTGTACTGGGGATTGAACTCAGGTCCTTGCGCTTGCAAGGCAGGCCAACAAACCACTGAGCTAAATCCCTGGCCCTCTTCTTCTTTTTTTATCAGTATTATTAAGGCAGAGCAGCTCAGTGCTGTTGCCATGTGTCACAGCTCTGTGTTGCTGCCAAGTGCCACAGCTCAGAGGCACAGCTGAGCTTTTACAGCTCAGGGTGGCAGCTCTGGGTCACAGCTCTCGTAATTTGAAGTCTCAAGAATCTGATGGTCAGTAGAAGAGGAGGAGAAAAATCTGTATTACGTCAGTGAGCCCCAGTGGGCTCAGAGGAATCTGAGCACCCTACCAGAGATGAGAGCCTTCTTATATAGGGATGGACAGGGCAGTTGAGCATGCTCACTGAACAGGGGGACGAGGTTACATAACATTCCTGAAACTTAAGCACTGTGTGTGCTCACTGAAGTGAGTGGGGTGGGATGGGGGTTACAGAACATTCCTGAAAGGGGGGCGGAGCTTAACAGAACCTTCTTGTGATTGGGGGGTAGAGCTTAATGAAAGTTCCTGGGATGTCACACAATTCAAACAGTCACAAACCATTTTGATACATTGGGCAGGAGCCCAGCAGCACAAACTTACATTTCCAAAACAAGACATTCTGTGGGGGAAAAAAAAATGAAGGCAAGTCAAGGGCCTGTCTTATTATATGGCACTTCTCTATCACTATATGTTTGTGAAATATGATAAATACATATATTGTGAGGAATTGGTACATATACATATCATGTGTTAATGCTTTTTACTCCCCCTCCCCCAACTTTAAAGCAGTACGCTGATGCTAATGGGATGAGCCACAGAAGAGAAACTACAGCATTCACAGATGCTGGCAAACTTGAGCTGATGAAAACATAGGCCATGGACCAAATGTTTTGGAAGTTTTGCTGGTCAAGGCCTGTCTGTAATCCCAACACTTGGGAGGCTGAGGCAGGAGGCCAGGCTAGTGAGTAATGAATTAAAGGCCAGCTTGAAGTACATGGAAAGGGCCTATCTCAGAAAGAGAGACTGGGGTGGGGGAGGGAGAGGGAGGTTCTATGCCGTGCAGTTGGTTGCCTTATGTAAAATCTTTACTCCTTTTCTCTCTCTCTCTGCAGGCCTTTACCTGGCTCCTTTGCATTTTGAGCCCAATGTGCAGATGAATTTCCAAACCCATGCTCAGAATAATCCTTCTCAGCTGCTGTCATTCATAAGTGATCAATAGCAAAGGTAATGAGATGCTTGATAGGAGGTTCTTTTTGGCAATTGTTCCTCCAAAGTTCAGGATGAACTTTATGTTACAGGCCATTCAGTTTTTAGAAAAACTGCATCACAGATATAATGTGGTTTCAAAAGAGAAAAGTTAAAGCCTTTGTATGTTTCTTAAATTAATGACTTGAGGCACAGAGTCTATAGACTCACAAGGACCAAGTCCATCTCAACTTTGCTTTCGAAGCCAGTCAAAAGAGTTTCATTTCAAACTGCATCTAGCAGGGATCACAGCCACCCCAGAGCACCTTCGTGCTGACAGACCCATCTCTGGCAAGACATTGCTTCCTGAGATGTTCTAGCAATTAGGGCATCTTAATTCCATTTTTTCTCATGCAAAGTTTCCCTCTTCAAATAGCCATATTTATTAATTCTCAAGTATCCCTGCAGAACACAGCTCAGCCTTCTGTGCTTTCATTCCTTAAAGGTTGTATATTTCCCTCAGCTGCTCTGGCTCGGAAGATCAGGTAGCATCCTAAGAGTACCCCAGTTATGCACTCCCAAGGCTTCTTTGGACCCCAAACTTCCGTGTATCACAATTTGCTGAGACAGTTTCCTCAGTGTTCGCCCCACACCCCTGGGATTCGGTTTAAGCGGTCCAGGGTGGGACCCAAGACCTGGAGCTTCTCATGTGTTCTTCAGTGATGTGAATGCTAAGTGTTCACAAATGACAGCATGCCGAGGGGCCAAAGCGACTCTCCACCTGGGACTGGTAGTTTATGAGACAGTGAAGCCCCATCCTGAAGGCAGTGCGCACAGCCCCTGGGCCGGCACAGCCACACCGGTCACCCAGCACAGAGCAGCAAGCTGGAGGAAGGGGAGTTCGCGTACAGTTCCTTCCCACACCCTTCCCTGGTCAGAGGTCTCAGTGCCCATGCTATATACACTGCACACATGTACACCAAACATACAGACAGTGTGTTGGTGCAGTCTCATACACATACAACCTGAAGTAGATGGAACTTTTCTCTTTCTCTTTTCATTAATGGAAATTATATATATATATATATATATATATATATATACACACACATATATATACATATATATATATATATATGTATATATATGGCACCACTGAGGTAAATTCCCACCCGATTATTATCGTTCGCATCTTAATTTCTTCTTAAGGTGGCCATTCACGATATTCACACTTTAAAAACATTTCTCATTAATAAAGATACCAAGAAACTGGGGGCTGTTGTTGTCCTACCGGGTGATTTTTCTGTCTGGGAATTCCTGTGGGGGCTCCTGACACTGGCAGAGGGTGTCTGCCATCGTCCCTATATGACAGGAGAAGAAACAAAAGCTGAAAAGAATTTGTTCTCTAAATTCCTGTCTGGAATGTTGAGTCTGCCAGATGGAGAATTCTGATAGGAAAGGGAATTCTGATAGGAGTCTTGTCAGAGGCACAGAGAGCAGCAGCAGGAGTCCCTTGCTTACCTGTTGTGCTGCCTGTGTACAAAGAGATGATTTTTTCAGAGATCCTGTGCCCGAGACATGACTGTCCTTGATAAGGTTGTTTGCAACAATTTTCTTACACTGTACAAAGGGTCTTGCTTATTGGTTCTCAACACACCAGTGTCATGAGGCCAAAGTGCAATTAGGGGAGAGAACTGGAATTTCTGAAATTATTGCTGCTCTAGCTGCTGCCCTCCTCTTTGTATAGATCCCATTCTAGCAACAACGGTGACACCTTAGCTGTCCAGCTCTTGTTCCTGTCTTGCATTCACAGCTGGGTTGCCCTGTGTGATGGTCAGGTGGCCTTCATTTCCGGCGCATATCTTCATCTGGCTTCTCAGCTTTCCTAAGAAGCTGCCAACTCAAGGCTTGGCTAACTGCCCTCCTCTGATGGTTTGTCAGATTCTACGTCTTAAACCCACTGCCACCTGTGTCCAGCTTAGGGCACTTTTTTAAAGCAGCATCTTCAGAAGAGCTTGCTTCTATCTTTTTTCTTTAGACTCTCAACAATGAGTTTCTAATTTAAGAACACCAAGAGAAAGGTGTGATTAGTTCAAGATGCTACACAATGATCAATTACACAATGATTTCATTTGCTGGCTACTGTCTTGTTGTCCAATGTGAGAAAGATTGCTGAGAGCAGAAGGGTCTCTTACCCTCCCAGTAGCATGAGCATTAAGAAGAATCAAATTCTGAGGACAGCACGTGCTCTCAGGATCTCTGCACTGTATCCCCTCTCTTTGGGTAAATCATTGCCCTAATGAGTGTTAAGTTGTTACTTCCAGTTCTAGGACTATCAAGTGAATTTACATTTAAGGAATTGAACTTATGGTCATGAGTTAGGAATTTAACTAACAGCAGCTTTATCATGAAACTCATGGAATCTGGAACTTTGTGTGACTGTGTCTTCTTCTGAAGTCATATGTATCAAGACTTCCATATGATACAACACTTACATTTGTAAAACTGCAAATCTTTAAGACTATTGGAAAAATTTGTACAAGAAGTTTATTTTTGTGCGTAGTTATCCAGATCTTATTCTTCCTTTCTCTGTCAACTTTCCTGTGCTCTTGCAATAAATAACAATGGCAATGACAAACTCTCCTCATTGTCATCTTCTCTGCTTCTGCAAACTTCCTCTGTCCCAGCTGTGAGCTTTTCCTCCCTTTGGCTTCTCCTGGAATCACTCAACACAGGGCTGGTGGCTACAGAAAGATCCCAAAGCCTGCCTGCCTTTTCCACAGGGCACAGTCTCCTGGGAGGAGCAGTTCTCCACTAATCCCGTCTGCTTTCAGAAGACAGAGCCAAGCTGATTGTTTGGAAAATAAAATTCTCCCTGTGAAGTAGTTTGCATATCCAGCCTTTGGGGCTGTTTCAAGGACATACGATTGTACAACAGCAAAGAGCACTTTAAGGTGTTACTGTTTTAAATACTTGTGAACAAAAGGCCCCGAGTTTTCAGCTTTTACTGTCCTTGGCAAATGTTGTGGCTGTCTTGCCAGCCTGGCCTGCCTTGGTCCTGCGCAGTTTGAGAAGTGGGTTTGCAACCAGTGCTTAAGAGAGAGGAGAGGTAGCAGGGCTAATAAGTCACCAGATCTGAGTTGAAGGTAGAGCAGAGAGAAGAAGGGACTGAGTGATTTTTCAGAGGCTGGCCACAGCTCCTCCACACGGTGCATCTGCTATGGCATTAGGGAGCTTTCCTGTTAGAGAACCACGAGTTTCTTCCTCTTCCTTCTAAATGTGAGGCTGAGTCCAGGGACTTTTATAATCAAGAATTTTAAAGTTGTCATAGGGACTTGTTGGACGGTGAAGTCTTGATGAAAAGCCCAGGGAAATGCTGGTTTGAGTTAAGCGCACTGAAAAGTTGCTTACAATTTCAGTCTTCTTCAGTATGTCTCCTTCTTGTTCACCTTTCAGAGCACTTAAAATCATAGCCATTACCAGTCAGCTTCCTCTGCCAGAAAAATGCATTTAATAAACATTTCAACTATGAACTGAGTTATAATTTATTTATCCCCGAGTTGAACTTACTGGTTCTGTTCTTTTAGAATGATATAAAATTATTTTAATTGAGATTGTTTTTACGTTCTTTGTCTTTCACTTTGCAATGGTCGAAACCAATATAGGGAATGGTAGGTCTTGTGCAAGTGTAGTTACTGCTTCTAGCTCAGTAATGGCAAACCTTTTAGAGCTTTCAATGGTAACAGACAGCTGGCTGGAGCACGTGTGCTACAGGTTCGCCACTGCTGTTCTAGACTATTGTGTTGGAGCCACAGAGATGGAGGGATCATTATCCAAGCTGAGCTCCCACAGTCTGGTGATTCCTGGGAGAAAGCTCTTGTTTTTCCTTCTTGTGTTCCCACTGTAACACAAGATTTAGAAAGCAATGACACTCAATGGAAATGTTTTCAAAACTGGCATTGAAGAATTTATTGAATTTCAATGAGAAGGCAGATCTAAAAGTAATTTTTAACACAGTTTGTTTTTCAGCAATATCTACTATGTGCTGATCTATGTCAGGCACTTTACATACATTGCCTATAATAAATGCATGCCATTCTCTTACACTTTCATTAACCCCGTTTCATACATGGAGAACTGAGGTCCAGAGAGGTCAAGCGTCTTTCACAAATCCACCTAGATTTCCTTTTCAGTGTTATACTAGCCTATGTGTAGAAAGCATGTTTCCTAACTATGAACAAGCTTGTTTTCAGTCTAAATCATGCTGTGGATTAATCAAACATTTTATATATAAAAATGCAAGCCCTGTAAACAGAAAGAGCTTCCTCACTGACCAACCATTCAAGGAAGAACAAAGGAAGAGGAAGAAAGTGAGGAAGACCCCTCCCACCAGGGTGTGTGACAAGGTCAGTCCGCTGGATCCCACCTCGGCAGCACTGCTGTGGCCCCCATCTTCTGGGAATGTAGGGAATAAAATGGACTTTGGGTAGAAAATGGTAGTAGACAGTTTAGGGTGTTACGTGACCCAAGCTGGAAATCATATATTTCCATTTTAAGTATTAATTGAAAGGTGTAGATTAAAGCAAAAATGAATCTCCCATATAGATGTAGCTACTCATCTTCAAACACAGAGTGGAGCGTGTCTCATCAGTCCCCATGTGTGGGCTGCACATAGTGACTTCTGTCCAAAGAGCACAGAATGAAAAAGGAGACTTCATGGTGGAGAAACATGAAAAGCCCTACCTGTGCCAAGTGGTCAAGGTCAATATCACGAGTGCTAAGTAGCATTACAGTTATGTGGTCTTGGTATGATGTGATAAGAATTATAGCTTACTTCCATGGTCTTCCTCTCCAAAATCTCATAACCCCACCATAAGAAAAATACCAGACACACTCCAACTGAGCAACATTCTGCAAAGCACATAACAAGTGCTCACCCAAATTATCAAGAAACCTGTCATTCAAAACATAGTCAAGAGAGGGCTGGGCATTTGGTTCTGCCGCCTGCCTCAAAAGCACAAGGACCCGAGTTCGATCCCCAGTACCAAAGCAAGCAAGCAAACAAAGAAACAAACAAAACATAGTCAAGAGACTGTGATTACTTTTTCAGAGTTTTCAGAGTCAAGAGGACCCTCAATGTGATATCTTGGATGGGATCCTGAAACAGAGACAGAATGAGGTAAGAATTGAGGAAATCTGAACATTTAGTAAGAATATACCAATATTGCCTCACTTCTTACGAAAAATGTAAAAATGTTAATGTTGGGGAATATGTTAGGTGGTGTTTGGGAGCTCTCCTCTCCTCAACTGTTCTGTAAGTTTACATCTATTTGAAAATACAATTGTACTTTAAAAAGTAAAAGAGTTTTATTGTAGACTTCGTCATACTAAATTAATACTTAAATTCTCTGGGTTGAGTAGTTTTTGCTATAAAACAGCAAGATATGCTGGGTGAATGTTTCATAACTAATTTAATGATGACTACCTTCTCTAACGTAGGAGAGACCATGCCATTCCTAATGAACCTTCTGCCTGCAGCAAGTGCTCACCTTGGGGTGAAGGCAGGGAGCAGCAGGCAGCTGGAAGTAGCAGATGGTGTTTGAAGTCCAGGCTGTGATTTCTAGTCTCAGGAAGGCACAGCAAGTGCGAGTGAGGTGTTCTTTCTCCTTAGTGACCACCTATCCTGAAGCAGGGAGTTGAAGAGCCAGAGGAGCTTAATTCAGTGTGTTCCAAATGACACATCAATATTTTCTATTGCATTAATTTTAATATATCCTACATGCTTACTGTGCAAGGCTCACGATGACCTCCCTATGGTCCTGACTAAGGGCTCTTAGTACAACTTCTTTATTGCTTTTTAGGAGGGGTTTATATTATGTTTCTCATTTTTGTAAAAATGTATTCTTTTGCCTATATTTTTTGGGAATTGAATGTCGGTGTGGAATCTTTACAAGTAAAATGGTCCACTAAGGTAATAAAAGGTTGGCAAAGGTGTCACATGTCTTTCCTAAAGCCATCTGTGCTGGTAATAGTTACTTTTCTGGTTGTTGAGACAAAATACCAGGCACCCAAAGCTAAAGGAGAAAAAGTTTATTCTAGTGCACAGTTTGTAGAGGTTGCAGTCCACAGTAGCTGGCTCCAGAGTACGGCAGCATGGCAGAGGGGCGTCATAGAAGGGAAAGTTCATGGCAGGGCAGGCAGAAGGCAGCAAAGCAGCAAGCAGCAAGGAGTGACAGGATGCTGTTCATCTTTCTCTTTTATTCTATCCAGGCTACAAACCCTTTGGGTAGTGTTACCAATTCTCAGAATGGCCCTTCCTATTGTCCACACCCAGAACTATGATAATCAATGAACTAAAATTAACACCACATACCGTCAATTCCAATATCACACCCTTAATTCACATTCACACACCCTAGGTCCAGCCACCTCTCAAAAGTCCTGTCTGTGACTGCATGAGGGTTTGGGGGGACATCCAGACACAAGTCGTAACAGCGATAGACACACAAGTACACATCTTGCTTGTGGAACAGTGATGGATAGATGGAGTGATCTAGATATATGTGAAGTAATGGGTAACAAAGGTGACCACGCTTTCAATATCAAATGTAAAATTAACTACAGGTATAAATTGGAAATCTCGTTGGGAAATAGTTCAAAGCTTGCAAATTTGTCTGACATTTAAACATTAGTTTACAAATTTGCAGAGACATGTTAATTTCCATAGTGTCATGCCATAGATTTCTTTCAAAAAACTATTGGAAAATTGTAACAGAACAGTTCTAAAAACTTGAATCAGGTTATCATTATCAGTAAAAATTTGTGGTTTGATGATAATTCCACTCATAAAACTCACCTTGTTTTTCTGATCTCTAGTAGTTAAACATATAACAATAAGGCATAAATATAGAGGAAATATTCAAAGTTATACATCAATATCTTAATGAGTATGTGCTACTTACATGGTTAAGGATTATTTAACCTTATATGCAAAATATGTTTCTGGTGTTATTTTAGTGTTGTTATCCTGAATAAACACTGCATTATAACTGAAAATATATCTAGCATTGAAATCATAAAACACAACACAAACTAAAATGTGTTTTGTTAAATATTTAGCGTTCTGTAAATTTATAGTGAGGAATATTGTGAAAATTTTACTTTTATCACAATTGAGTTACATTATTAATAGAATAGTTATTATTAGCATGATATAATGCAAACCTTATTAATTTTGAATTTGATAATTTCCACTTTAGCTTGAAGATTATCTTTGCTTTGCTTTAAATAAAATGAAAATTTCCTGAACAATCTGATAATTTTCCTAAGCTTATCAGAAGGCATTAATATACTCAAGAATATTGAGTGGTTGCAATGCTTAATAACCTTCGTTTGCATGTGTTTATTTACATTCATTTACTTTGTATACTAAAGCATTATTACAAGTCTCAGTTTTTCTCTTGAACTGTGCTTATAATTAAACATTACAGAGTATGTGTTGATTTTGTGTATATAGTAATTGAAGAGTAGAGGTCCAGACTGCCCTGAAATGTAGGTCAGAAGAGTGATTTTTAGGTTTCCAGAAACGTTTCCCTGCCCCAAGCATGATACTCTACTCCTGTCTGATGCTCAAGATTCACTTTCTACATAGTGTTTCCTTTTATCTCAAAACTGTAGCCCCCCTCCAAAAAAAAAAAAATCCCAGGGACAGGATCACATTGACTCACTTGTGCTAGAATAGACATTATTATTGGAAGATTCTCTTTAAAAAAGACTGTTGATTTCGTGGTTTATTTGAATCAGAGGTATACTGGGAAGGGGGCTTCCTCCCTGAAGTAGATGAATAGGGAACATAGCAAGAAAAATGCAATGGAGTGAAATACTGAGGGAATAGGGAGTTGGCCTAAAGAACAGATTTAAGGTTCTTTTACCTGGTCCTAATTGATCAGCAAGCTCAAGAGTTCAAAAGAAATAATAATAGTAGTGCAGGCGTATTCTTATTCACTCCTCCTTAGAACCCACTGTAATAAAACTGATGTTTCCATATTTTTATGTCTCAACGAAATAGTGAAAGTCCACAACCATAACCCAATGTTACACCCTCTGAAAGTCTATGTTCTAAACAGTGTGAAATTGATATTCAAACAAGTGAAAGAGCACCCACTCTCAGGTTGCGCAGGAATCAGCATTAAGTTTCATAGGTGGTTACAGTTGCCCTGTGGGTGTGTGTTAGAAGTGATAGGATTGCAGTGGAGGTTGCATTGAAGGAGAAGGCGTATGATGAACTCCACTTTTATGTGTCCCTGCCCTGGTTACGTAGCTCACAGAGATATCAGACCTAGGAAAGGCAGAGAACTGACAGAGCCTTTACTGTCAGTGCAGATGCCACTGGCTTTTGGATGCTTACAACTGAGGAAAGGAGAGAGGAAGGGAAGCAGGTGAAGGAAGATGCACTAACAGTGTGATCCAGTGAAATGTCCAGAATAAGGAAGTCCCAGGAGGAGTTGCAGAGTATTCCCATTTATTGCCCCTCTTTATAATGTAGAAGGAATCAGACTGTGCACAGATGCAAGCAGGAAGAATGTAGAGGAAAGAAGCATAAGGCAAAGCCAGATGAACTATAAAATACACATGAAAGAGGGTTTATTTTAAAAAGACAGAAAAAATTAACAAAAATGGTATTTCAGCCCCAAAGTGATCACAGACAATGTAGTTTATTACTGTATTCCTTTTTTGTGTGTGTTTTTAAGGCTCAAGGAAAAGACTCAGGATTCAAAGAGATTACAAGACAATACCTGGAGACAAAAAGCAGACTGGCTGTGCACAAGAAAGCAAGGAAGTGTAAGGTAAAAAGCATTACAGGGAGGAGAGAGAACACTAGAAGCATCAGCAAATAAAGCAAGTATGAGTAAGCCCTTTCCTCTTGGCCTCTCAATACAATCTCAAACTGAGGAAAAGCACAGACATAGAAATCATTGGGGAGAATATAGGAATATATGACACAATGGTCCAACATACAAGCAGATGAAACCCTGGAGATGGGTTTCAAATCAAGAGTCCACCTCCTACCAATTGTGCCTTGTTACCAGAGCCATTGCACCTCACTGTGTTTTTTTTCGTTATTAGAAAAGTTAAGATAAACATAATATGTAGCTCATAGAACTGTTCAAAAGAGGAACATGTCTATTCACAAACTGTTATTGTCCTTAGCATATAAGAATGGAACTAAAAACTGGGCTGAAAAGTATAAGACAAATCTTTTCTGCAATGAATTTGTCAAAGTTCAGATTGAAAATGCACAGTATCTGGGAGAAAAATAATCAAAACAGAACAGTCAACAATGAAACCTATCTTGACATTCAAGAATAAAGCAACTAATTGTGCAAGCATGTGAAACGAAAAGCAAGTCACCTACAAAGAAAGAGAGAGAGAGAGAGAGAGAGAGAGAAAACATCAGATTGATTTCAAAATTCCTTGATCTCAGTGCTGAAAAAAAAAACTCTAAAAAAACCAAGCATTATTATATTTTTAAAAATGGCAGCACTGGGAGGTGGTGGAGAGGAAGATATAATAAAAAACTTACACCCAGCAGAGCTTCTATTTGGATGTATAGGAGAGGGACAGAGTCTCATACAGGCAAGAATTCAGGGACACAACACTAAAGAGCTATTGAGAGACAAGAACAGCATATTTCTGAATTTCAGTCAGAAGATTTATATTAAAGTAATTCCTTTAAAAATAAAAAAAAGATAGGATTAAACACAGTGAGGCTGATTATTCATCACTTTTACATATAGCATTAAGATCAAATCACTTTGGAATTGTAGATAATATGCAGCCCAATAATAACAATAATACTGATAATAATAGTAATTGGGAGAGGAGGTGGGGGAAGCAAAGTATGTTTATTTGCTTACCAATCCTAACAGAGTCAGTTGATAGCTACTAAAATAATAAAGCACAGACTGGGAATGAAGCTCATTGGCCAGACCCTCGGTTAACCTGTCTGAGACCCTGGCTTTTGGTTTTCATCTTCAGCAGTGAAAAAAAAAAATTAAGGAAAAAAATAACATATTAATGATAAATACATGTCAAGTTCTTAATTCTATCACTAATTCGCATTTACATGAATCTCGGTGAAAAGAGATGTATCTGAATTTTAGCAATTCTTTTATTTTTACTGCAATTCATTTTTGTGCTGTTAAATGAAGTGTCATGTCCCGTAAAGTAAAAATAGCAAGGACAGTACCAGGGTCAAACTCGGGACCTTGCACTTGCAAGACAGGTGGTGGAACCACTGCACTAAATCCCCAGCTCTAGTCTGAATTTTTTTTTCTTTTTATTGAGTTTATTGGTACATTCTAGGTATACAGTACAGTTACATTCATTATTGGGATCTTGTACCTTTACATGACAGGACTTGGTTCTCATTTTTCCTCTTGTCCCTGCCCTCCCTTCACCCCCTCCTTCCCTCCCCATTTACAAACATTAGTCTGAATTGCTTACCAGCCTTTCTAGTGTTAAACTCGGTCAATACAGACTGACCCTGGAGATGGGTCTCAAACCAAAACTCTCAGACCTGCCCACTGGCCCTTGTTACCAAAGCTGTTGCACCTCATTGTGTTTTTTTTTCTCATTATTAGAAAAGTTAGGATAAACAGAGTTCATAGTTCATAGACTTGTTCAAACGATGAACTTGTCAATTCACATACTGTTGTTGTTTTTAGCATATTACCACTAACAAATACGTCACTTTTTGTGCTTTTTAATGTTTTTGCTTTAATTGGCCTAACATGTTTGGGGGCTCACATCATTTTTTATAAAAAAATAAATAAATATTTTGAGTCCAGTGAGATGATAAACTAGGACACAACCAAATTTTCTAACCCTCAATTTTCTGCTGCATTTACTGAATAATGTCAGCATGACCTTCAAGAAAATTTCCACCAAGATTTATTGGTATAATATGTAAGGATTCAGCATGGCTGAGACATTAAATTTCTATCAATTCCATTAGTATTTACCTTGATCAATTATGTTTTATCCATCTCTCTTTATGGTTTCGAATTTAACAAAAACTAGGAGTTACATTACTATTATGTTTGACTCTCTCTCTCTCTCTCTCTCTCTCTCTCTCTCTCTCTATATATATATATATATATATATATATCTCCTATAAAGGTGAATTTCAGTGCAACAAAGTTAATAGAAATATTATAGAGATTACTGAGCATTAAGATGAATAATTCTACCAAGTTTTCTAGGTTATAGAAAACAAAGCTCATGGTATCTTGCACAAATGAAAGGATGTCAAAATTGATCTAGTTACTTTCTCACTCAGGAAATGTTTTTTTGAGTGTCATGCATTGTAAAATAAGTACAGAGGCGAAGAGCTATAGACAAGGCTGACATAATTGATTGTCTTGTCTCATGCATCTTCCATTTGGTGGTTAAAGTCTTATTTTCTGTTACAGTATCTTGAATAGAATTTTGAATACCTTATAAAACATTTTTTCCTCTATGATATAAGCTAATGATATCCACTTTACAGGGCTTGTTTTGAAAAGTAAATGAGAAATCATTTGTGAGGTCCTGGCATACACATTGTGATCTCTCTTCAGATATTTTTCTTTAATACTTGTTAAGTGTTTAAAGATAAATCAATGTGATGAAAATCACTTCAAAGCCATTCACAGCTCAGGTATTGCTTTATATTAAATGACACTTTGAGATGAATTCTCATGCTTAGGGATTTCATCTATTTTTCTAACCAGCCTGGTATCAAATTAGTACGTCTTAATCAATTCCGGCGTTTCAGAACAGTTCCTAAAATTAATTTTTTACCATCAGTTGGTTGCTAATAGATATGAAACAACTCGAAAGTGCTCAACATTAGCAAACAACTGCTCATCTCATAGAAATTTCGAGAAAAACTAATAGGTTGTGCCGAGAACAACAGATGATGTTATGGGGATGTAGGCTGGGCATCAGACAACGAGACTGAAGTTCTAGAATAAATTGAACTTTGAATGAGCACGTGAAGCTTAATGTCCATTCCTTTCAACTCCGAATGCTCTGAAAGAAGAGATGATAGCTGCACTCACATAGTCTAGACCAATGAAAGCAAACAGAGCTCAAAAATAATCCCACCCATATGTGGTGAATGAATTTCCACAAAGGCTCCAAAACAAACAATGGAAAAAGGCTAGACTCTTCAGTAAATGATATTGGGAAAGTGATATAAATTTGCGAAAAAATGAAATTTTACCATTTTCTTATACTGCACAAAACTATCTAGCTGCTCTTATTCATACTCAAAATGAATTAAAAACAGATTAAATACTGAAATGTAAGGCTTGCAACCACAAAACTCTTAGAAGGAAGCGTGGAGTGAAAGTTTTTGGACAACCATCTTGGCAGTGATTTTTTTGTCGTTGGTATTTGACCCAAAAAACATAGGCAACAAAAGTAAAAATAGCAAATGGAAAACTACATCAGACTAACTACCCTTTGTACAGCAAACACTAAAAAGGGAAAAGGTAACTTACACGCTACAAGAAAATATTTACAAAAATATCCAAAATGGAAAAGAAAGTAGTAAAATTCAATATCAAACTCAAAAGCCAAGCAAGAAACCCCTAAATCATCCAATTTAAAAATGAACAAAGAATCAGGCATGGTGGTGCATGCCTGTAATTCCAGCACTTGGGAGGCTGAGGCTGAAGGATGGCTGTGAATTCAAGACCAGCCTGGGCTACATAGTGAGTTCCAGGTCAGTCTCAACTATACAGTGAGACCCTTTCTTGAAATAAAGCAAAAGAAAACAAATGGATGAAGGATCTGACTGGACACTTTTATTGAGAAGATATACAAGCAGCCCAAGAGTGTACAGAAAGATGCTACATATCGCTATATTCAAGGAAATACAGATTAAATCACAAGCAGATACCGCCTCGTGCTAGTTCAGGCAAGTATTAGGAAAAAGTCAGAAGATAACAGGGACTAGCAAGCATGTGGAGAAAGGGAACCCTTGATGCTGTTGGGAAGAATGTAAATTGGCACCACTTTACTGAAAAACTCTGTAGAGGGTTCCCAAATAATTAAAACCAAACTGTGAAATGGACAAATCTAAAGAGACATGAGTAGTGAAAGGAGTGATTCGGATAAGAGGAGAGGCGATGGAAAACACAGAAGTGGTTTAAAATACTACAATTATTTCTTATCCCCGGTTTCCACCCTGATAGAAATTTAGGTGAGGAATCATAAGAGCCTGGCTGCTTCAGAGGGAAATAGGAGAAAAATAATGGAGAATATGGCCTTGAGAGGAAAAGCAGAAAACCCCTATAAAACCTTGAGCACACGAGCCTCTCAATGAGGTTTAAATTCTGAGCTGGCTTTCTTAGAAGAACAATTGTTTTAAACTTGAGAAACATGAACTTATTTTTATTTTTTGGAACTCTTCAAAGTCATCTAGTGGATATCAGAACGAGTAACCTTCAGTATCATTTCTAAGAAGGTTTGTCAGTATTCCCAAGTTAGCCAACGTTCATGTAACTTGGTGTAGTTCCTCCAAGGAATCGAACTATCCCCTGCTGGGCCAGGAGATCATAACTTCTCTGAGACTGTGTGGAATGTCTATATTTAGATTTCCACCCAGTAGCTTCTTCTTATTTCTTTCCTGCCCATATGGTATATTAACAATAAAATAAACCAGGCACAATCTCCATGGAAACAAGCACAGATGTTTCAGAATGCACCCATCAAAAGTACTCGCCAGTGAAAAACATTGTGTTTCTGTAATTGATTCAAATATTTTGCTGTCAGCTGTTTCACTTTGAAGTCACAGATTGTTTTTTTTTTTTTTTCATTTTGAGAGTCACTTTCTCTCCATGAATAGGCACAGAGAGATTTCCTTTGTCTCACTGTGTTAAAATTTAGAAATAAGGTTTGTCTGGAG